ATAGTAGTGGGAAAACAGAGGGGGTTTTAGGAGAGGTTTCTTTAGGAGTGGATGTGGCAATAGAACTAAGAGAAACTGGAATTTGGGACTTGTGAGCCAGATCAGATTTCAATATATCATTTCCAATTTGCCTCATGGAGATTTTGTTGTTAGTCACAAACACAGTGACTCCTGTGATCAGAGGAACAATTATAAACATTATGGCAAGAAAAAATAAAACATGAGGGTACGATGTGTTCCACCCTTTCTTTCCCCCAGCTAGAACTTTGTCAAGCAGCATTGGAGGTCGGTTGGGCTTCGCCAGGAGGTCACTTCCCAGGTGCAGCCAAGTAGATCAGGGTGGACTCATGATCCAGTGATCACCCAGAGGCCAGGCTATCACCACTGGACACCACCAACCAGCCTCATGTTCTGGCACTTCCATGAAGGAAAAGGCTCTGGGTGGGCTGAACTGAAGAGATGTTTTTTCAGTGTCAGAGCCTGATACTGACCAAAGGCACAGAGGGACAGGTGCCATGAGCCAGGAAGGAAGCCAGGTCACCGAGAGGAGATCTCTCCAGCTCAGATCCTCAGGCATTAGATTCTCATAAAGAGGGAAGAGGGCCTGTGACTTCCAGATCCTATGGGCTGTCTGGATGTCCTCCAGTTGGGTGCACACCAGACCCCAGAACCTTACAGCACTTCCTTTTCCAGAACTGGCATCTGATGAGAACAGCAAAGGTGGGGCCTGTGCTCACTAAAACATAAGGCAGAGAATCCTAACTCACACTGGCCTAAGCAAAGAGCATAAATTACTGTCTCACAAAACTGAAAACCCAGGCCTGGGTAGGCATAGTGGGATCCAGGGGCTTGAGCAAGGCCTTGGGACTTGGTCTTCTTTCTGTTTCTCTTTCCACTTTTTGCTGTGCTACTCTTGTTCTCAGACTCTCTCTCATGGTGGCAAAATAGCTGCCAGTAGCACTAGACGTATCTCTCACTCCCTCAGCAACTTCAGCAGAAAGTAGTACCTTTCTTCCCACCAGTTTCAACAAAAGTCCCAGAACTAAGTCCTAACAGCTCTTATCATGACACATTCCCTTTTCTTTTCTTTTCTTTTTTTTTTGGTACTGGGGATCGAACTCAGGACCTTGTGCTCTTCCCAGCTGAGGTCTCCTTTATGATGGCTGGGACTCCAGCTTCCTCTTAGATCCTTGCCCTTGAACATCCTGACTCTGAAGCTGCGATGGAGCTCAGGGACTTTGAGTCAGCTAATAGATCCACATGTGCTCTGAGGACCAGCAGGACTGCAGCAAAGCATGAGAGAAGACAGATCTGGCCCAGAGCTGCATACCAGCTCCCTTACTCCTTTACAGTAGTCCTTTACCTTGGTCAGCAGCATCTTCCTCTTCTCCTTAACCTGTAGTTAAGGGTAAACAGGGACCAGGAGGGGAAGCTAACCTGTCACTTTACAAAGGAATGACATACTATCTCTCTGAAGACCTGGGCTGGGAAGCTTGCGGGCTAAAGTCACTGCTGGTGGCAGCTGATCATTCACTCATTCATTCCCCTGAGTATATACCGTGTGCTTGGCATTAGGCTGGGTGCTAAGGCAAAAAAAAAAAAAAAAAAGACATACATAAGATATTGGATTTGATCTAGAGTTGAGGTGATCAGCTTCTAGAGGTTAAATAACTAGAAACAAGTTGTTAATAAGGGAAGCTCTGTAACTGAATCTTCCACCATGGTTTGGAAATGAACTTGGGACTTTAGGTGAGTAGACCCCTGGGGACATAAACGGACAACCTATCTGGTGTTTCAAAGACGAGGCATCTCATCTCCTCATTCCAGATCTGTCTTAGGCCTGTGGTGAGGCAGAAACAGCTACCTCTTACTGTGTGCGCTGCGCCAGACACTGTGCTAAATAAATTATCCAAATGCAATGCCTTACATCATTCTCCCAGCCACCTAAGATGTCCACTCACCTACCCCTGTTTTTCCAGATGGGGAACTAAGGCTCCAAAAGCCTTGAGGAAATGGCTCGAAGTTACACAGCTATCAAATGGCAGCAGTGGGGCTGACATCGAGCTTTTCTGCTTTCAAAGCCTAGGTTTGACGGTCTGCATGTTAAAATAGAGACAGTGACTATCCAGATGGTCCTCTCACTACTCACCCCAAATGCAATCCCACCCAGTCCAGAAGGTGGTCGGGCATCTCCAGGAGCTGCTCTACATTTGAAGAGTCAGCTCTGTACCGTGGGACTGACCCAGGACAAGAGGGCCCAGTCCTGTGGCTCCAGAACTCAGGATGGAGCCTCGGAACTGAGGCTTCACTTTCCTCCCCTGGCCTTGTTCTCTTGGCTGCTGATCTCATCCCCATCAACAGTCAGCCATCTGAACCGGGCATCTGAGGACAGTTCTCCTTCAGATCTCCAGGCAGGAGCTTGGCAGAGGAAATATTTCTCCACCCACTTGGTTTCCTGGTCCATGATGCCTCTTCCATCTGGCTCATTCATTCATGTATTCATTCAATAAATTATCACTGAGCACCAACTCTCTCCCCTACTGTGGACAAGGTACTGAAGGAAGCAGGAAATGAAGGTGGGTTGGTAGGAGAGATAAGACATTTACATAAAAAGAGAACTTTAAGGATAAGGACCATGGGAAAAGCACAAACCAAGTCCTACCTGAGTTTGATGTGAGGGGAGAGAACACCTCCAGATTTGGCAAGAGTGGAGGAAGTATATCCATTAAGGAGTTTTTGGGAGGTGGAGCTGGGCTTTCAAAGGGTGGGACTGAGAGTGTGTAGCCAAAGGGAAGGGCAGTCTAGGCGGTGGGAACAGCAGGAGCGAAGGCCTGGAGGTGGAATTCATGGTGATGTCTCAGCAGGAAGGAAGCAGTTCCACCTAGCAGGGAGCAGGCAGTGTGGGAGATGAGCAGGGGAACTAGGATGGGCCAGTGGGCTGCTGACTCTGCACTGCCATGTCAGTCACAGCCCAGCCCTCGAGTGGGATCGGGAGAGATCAGATAGATTTAGAAATCCCAGAAGAGTCTTGACCCCTGAGGTACAGGCCTCACCAGGTACTCACTTCCCACTCTCCACTGCTGTGGTTTAATAAGCTCTTAAGTGCTCCAAAAATACATCTCAGGCCAAGTTAGTCGACAGACTTCAGAGCCTCAGTACTGGAAGGGAGTTTTGAGAGCATCACATCTCATGATTTAAAAATAGAATCACAGAATCTCCAAACAGAAAACATACTCTAGCTAAAACAGGGTGTGGGAGCCTCCCCATTTGATCTTTCCAGTGGTCTCTGCAGCAGCTCCTGTGATACTCCTGGGAAATCTAAGACTCAAGAAGTATGGTTTAAAAACAACTGATCCAGGGCCCAGAATTTAGCTCAGTGGTTTCGCCGCCTGCTGCTCAAGCCCCAGGACCTGAGCTTGATCCCCAGTACCAAAAACAAAAAAAGCAAAACAAAAAACAATTGATCCAGCCCATTTCCAATTTCATTCTACAGATTAGGAATCTGAAATCAGTAGAGGAGATAACGGGGCACTAGGCCACCTGACTGCTTGTTTAGGGCTCTCTTCTCTATCTTGTGCCTAAAATCATGGGAGAATGCTGAAGAGCTACACACAGACACAGATGGACACACACACGCACACACACATGCACTCCTAGATAGCTAGGTTGCCTGGGATCTGGTGGCTGGCACAACCTCAAACACCTGACTCTGTGGCCTGGTGGAGGTGAAGCTGTGCTGGCTCACTGTGGCTTATCTTGCCCCCAGCCTGCTGGAAGAGGAATATAGGGCCAGGTCCTCCTTCTACTAATACATATTGAAAATGGAGATGTGGCCAGTAAAACAACTTACAGGCCTTTTAATCCTAGGCCTAGGGAGCAAAGCTTGAGTGAAGGAAAGAGGGAAGCTGTGTGGTACATGCGTGTGTGTTGGCAGGCTGCCAAAGGAAAAAAGAGAAGGGCAGAGGCTGAAAGCAGGCTTGTGAATTGTTACCCAGTGACCATTGCATTAACAGTGTGCATCTCATTTGAAGAAGTAAGAGCCACAGGAGTGGGCCTCCAGGACCCACAGCACCTAGCGCAGTGCCAGTTGCAAGGCAGGTGTAAGGCAAGTGCCTGTAAAATACCTGCTGCATACATCTGGTAAGGAGGGTGTGCAGGTGAGCTTGTTTCTGGGTGAGCTTGTCTCAGCCAATGTCAGAGGCTCTTTGCAGCCCATCATCCTCCCTTAGGTCGGACAGCTCACTTCCTTTCCTCCTCTTGCAAATGGGAAGAACACCAACAAAAAAGCCTTGCCAAGGACTGAGAGCGAAGCAATGGACATGTGGGTCATCCTTGCCAGGTGGGGCCTTGTCACCCCTGATGTGTGCAATCAGCCCCAGCTCTTCCCCTCAAATCCTCCTGACCCTGCACAAGTTTCAGTTCTAGAAAACAATCATTCTGATCACTGGCAATGGCAGCAGCCACTCATGTGGGCTCTAGGTAACCCGACTCAATACAAGAATAAAGAAGGTATCTGAGCTCAAGACTCACTCTTGTCATAGGGTCTGGACAGATTTCTCCAGTCCTTTGTAAGAAAATTGAGTTGTTCTTCCTTCTCCCATACAGCCTGCCTCCCTCTCACTCGGAGGGGGACACACAAAATCTATACCACATCCTGACATAAACACGAAACCTCTCATGGCTCATGAGCCCATAGCTCAGCCAGCACTCCTTCCCTGCCAAATGTCCCAGATACACTTGCGTCTGAGTGCCCGTTGTGCAGACATTGTGGGAGGCTGAGACAGACTGAAGATGCTCCTCAGGGGCTTGGAACATGTGGTTTTCAGGCAAGGCATATGTTACTGTCTCCTCCCCTGATATTACAGGAACAGCTTCCCAGCAGCCACCTCAACGCTGGGAGTTGACTCCAGCTGCTGAAAGGGGTTACTTCTGCCCTTCTGGGGTCTGATGATAATCTTAGCCCCTACCCAGCAGGCCTGGCATCAAACACAACACAGGAGTGGTGACAGGGCTGAAAAAGCACATCCACTTTATTTACAATGATCAGTTGGTGACACATAGATCTTTGGACTTTTGGTGGCCTTGTGGAGACTCCTAGGGAGGGGCCCACTCTCTCTGTTCTGGCAACACACCCTCCTCCCTCATCCTGCCATGTGAATCCAGCTGGGGTCAAGACACATTCGCCCCGTGAACCTTGACTTGGCATCTCTGCTTGGGGAATCTGTCTCCACACATCTGCCGAAGGTTCCCTTACCTCCTCTGGAGGTCCATCTTGGGTTGTGGGGCACCTAGAGTGGTCCACACTTATCAGTCTGCAGAGTGGGGTGGGTGAGGAATCCTGTGGGAGTGCAAGGCCCAGGTTGGTGCAGAGCTGTCAGAGCTGTTACTGGCCTAACCCATCCTTTGAACATCAGTAGGATCATCCTAGTCTTCTCCAGAGACAGAGAGGTGAAATCCCAGGAGTCCTCCGACGGGTACAGAGGCCAAGCAGTCCAGAATTCCTCCGTTTACATGACCCCAGTCTCAGTGTCCATCAGGGACCTGGCCTCAATTCTCCTCAGCCACTGGATTCTTCCCCTACAAAAGAGCCTCTCCAAGTGGTTCTTATAATAAGACTAGAGAGAACCAAGGGCAGGGCTATTGCCAACACCCGGGGCCAGGGTTCAAACTCACCCTCCTGGATTTCTAGAAACTTCTCCCCGATTCTCCAGAGAGGATGTTTTGGGGAAGTGGGTGGACAAAGAGACTTGGTGCAAAGCACGGGGACACTTCCACAATGGAGGGCCCGGAAAACTCCGGGCAAGGAGAGAGGGGGGGACCCCCCCCCCCCCCAGTAATCAAGGGCATGTCAGGTGTCACCCTGAGCCAGGACGAGGGGTGAGGCGATCACAACTGAGATCACGAGGGAGGTAGGGTCGGGGACCAGGGGTGCCGCAGCGGCAGCCGTATCTGAGGCTGTGAGTTCAGCGCGCCTGGCCGGCGCGCTCCCGGGGTCCGCCCTTCCAGCGGCGGGACTGCGCTGGGGGTGGCGGCGGCGCCGGGGCGCCCAGCAGGCTGCACGTCCTCAGCTCCCGCGCCAGGCTCAGCACCTCTGGCCGCTCGCGCTGGGGGGCTCCTCCCTCGAGCTCCTCCGCGTCCTCCTCCTCCTCCTCTTCGTCCTCCTCCTGGATGCTGCTGAGGCGCGGCGCCCCGCGGCCGCGTTCTGTCTGCGGCGGCCGGTAGGCGCACTTTGCGTTGAGCAGCCGGCGAAGCGGGGCGCGGGGCACCGAGGCGCCGGCACCCCCGGCGCGGAGGTGCTGTTGACGCACGTGGCGCGCGTCGTTCTGGCGCTGCAGCCGCTTGAAGTCGCTGAAGGCCGCCAGCGCGGTCTGGCGGAGCAGGCGGGCCAGGGCGCGCGCCTTGTGCGCCCGCGCCAGCAGCACAGCGTGGCAGCGCAGCACCACGGCCTTGTGGCGCGCCTGGTGGCGGTAGACCCAGGCGAAGACGCGCGGGTGGCGCCCGTCCGCAGCGCAGTAGGTGATGCGCGGCAGCAGGTAGGCGTGCGCCGGCCTGCGGCCCCCCGAACCCCCCGCGGCGCTGCGCTCGCACGGCTGCATGCGGATACCGTGCGGCCCTAGGGTCAGCTTCATCTTGGTGCCCCCGCCCGGTCCACAGCGCGCCCAGATCTTGCCCACCGCGTCGTCGGTGCAGCCGTCGCCTTTGGCGTGCAGGGTGACGGCATTGCCCAGGTACCAAACGGTGTAGGTCGGGTCCTCCTTGTTCAGCTCCACTTTCTGGCGCCGGCTGCGGAACACTCGGCTCAGGCGCTCCAGCGGCCAGTCGGGCAGCAGGTCCGGGCAGGAGCGCAGGAAACTGGAGAGCAGCGACGTGTAGGCGATCCCCGGGCTCAGGCTTTTCGCCTTGCACTTGGCCTCATCCTCCACCAACACGAATTTGTTCCGTCTCCAGGGCAGCATCGCGGCGGCCGAAGGGGCCGGGGGCTCCGGGGGCTGGCGGGCGTCCTGTCGGGCGTCCGGGGGAGGGGAAGCCGCGCAGAAGCCCTCTATCCCGGAGTCGCGAGAAGCTGGGCGGTGCCGGCGACGGTCGGTGCCCGAGATACCCAGTGCCAGGCGGGGCTAGCCTCGCAGATGCCGGGTGCCCAGCTGGGCTGGCCGCGGAGATGCCCGGGCTGCCAGGAATAGCTTTCTCCGGGAGTGGTTCCAGCCGTCTGGGATGCCGGGAAGGGCAGGGCTGGGGATGGCAGCCCCCCTACCCCGCCAGAATGGGGGGATTCTCGCGGTCCCCGCCGCCCAAATTGCGGCGGCAGGGAGGTCGCCGGAGCCGGGGCTGGCGGCTGCTCGGTAGGGTAGACCAAGAGCGCGGCTGCTGTGGGGACTCCAGGCGTCGCGGCTCCACCTCCCCGGGCTGCCTACATCACCGGGCGGGACCGCTAGTTCTCTTGTCCCCTCCCCTCGCTCCCCCTCTTCCCACCCCGCGCAGGCTCGCGCTGCCCTGAGACCCAGCACAGGCGCGGTGGAAGCGGTTTAATCGTTATTATTGGAGGGGTGGGGGTAGAGGGGAGGTTAGGAATCGCCTGAAATGTTCCGGAGGTCTTTGCCAGTGCAAATTTCTCACTAGTGAGTGGGCTTCGATTTCCCCTTGGCTCATTCAAGGACCACCGCCCTCCCTTTTCTAGGATTCCTGCCGCCCCTCACCCACGGCAGGTACCTACTCCCGTTTCTGAGAGTAGGATTTGAAGTGGGTTCCTGGTAGGGCCAGCCTGGCGCACTTTGCCTCCTGTCTGCACAGCACAAAGCCAGCTGAGGTGTCCAAGCAGTGCAGTGGAAAAGTACTGTCGCTTGGTGAAGCTTTCTCCCAGCTTCCTCCAAGGTCGTGGGCTAGGCCCTGCGCCTGACCTGGGAGACCAGCCCCTACTCCAGTGGCTGCTCACCTGGAGAGAAGCAGAGAGGGTACTCTTTGAGGAGGGGGCTTCCAGAACAGTGCTGGGTCTGTGGGAATTGCAGATGAAACGCGCCCTCTGGCTCAAGCGAAGCCTCTGGGCTCTCTGAAGATTAAATAAAGTATCTGTAAACTCCTTACGTGTTCCCAGGTGTTTAGGTCATTATCTCACTTAATCCTTAGGACAGCCCAGGCTCAGTTAAATGATTAGTTCAAGGCCATAAAGCTAGTAGAAGGTAGATCTGGATCTAGGGCCCCATGAGGGCCTGGGTGATCATCCAGGCTGCCCTCACTGGTCTGTGAGTCCCCCATCTGCTGCCTATGGTTGGGGCCTCTGTCTTCTTCCTCTCAGACTCAGAGGGGAAGTGACTGGCTCTTGGGAGGGGCTCTAGGGTACTGAAAGACAGTTATCTCTGCGTGTGGGCACACATTTTTCCCTTACAGAATTTGTTGTATCACCACTTCCTAAAATCCCAGGACTGCTCTGATGTGGGCCCCGGATCCCCATCACCTTGAGCCCTCACAGAGGTGGAGCTCAAGCTCCTCACTGGGTCTCTGGACAGGTCCCTGAGGGTGTCCTCCAGGTCAGGAGTGAGCCCAGGTCTGGTTGGGGGCCAAGTTCAGAGCCAACCCAAACCCTGTGAAATCTGAGTAGGGGGCAGTGACCAGATGGTGTGCTCATTTGGGCCAGCATGCAGGGCCGCCAAGTGCCTGGGTTCAGAGTTCCTGGGGGGAATAAAAGTAAAATAACAAACCACAAGGTTTACTGAATGCTCCTAAAATAATATGCAAATAAAGAACAGGAAATTACCTAGAATTGCAGAATCTCGCTTTGGAGGGTACTCTGCAGATTATCTCGTCCACTACCCATGAGTTTTCTTTTCTTTTTTTTTTTTTTTGAGTTTTATTTTCAATGTGGTAATGTCTTTATTGCTTTTTGCTGATTATAAAAATAATACGTGCTTGTGGTACAAATTCATACAAGGACACAAAAATCTCCTACTGCTCCCACTGGAGATGTGGCCTCATTTCCAGGGAGAGGGTAGGTTCAGTCAGGCCAGGGGTCATTGGAGTGCTGTTCGTAGTGCCTGCCGGATTTGCCTCTCTGGCCAATGGAGATATTAACCCAAACAAAATCCCTTCACTGAAAGGACTTCATGTGGTTTTGACCTGCAAGTCTGCTCATGGAAAAATTCTGCTGGGCTCTGCCTTGAATTTCCTGTAACCACTTTCCTGACCTTGTTTGACCTTCCTAACCCCTAATGGTCAGAGTAGTGGGAGAGGCCAGAGGCAAAGCCTCAATTTGCAAGATGAAGAAAAACTCTAATTCTTGCAGAAGGAAAGTGTGCCTCCTTAGTGTTGCTAGAGTTAACATATAAAGACAAAATGAAATTTGAATTTCAGGTAAGCAACAATTTTTTTTTTTTTGAGACTGAGTCTCGCTTTGTAGTTCAGGCTGGCCCTGACCTCTCTGTGTAGCCCAGGCTGGCCTTGAACTCACAGCCATCCTTCTGCTTCCCAGAGTGCTGGGATTACAGGTGTGTGCCACCATGCCCAGTGCTTCCATATTTTTGAATGACATCGCTAATTCAGATTTCCCAGTTTTAAAATCATTGTCTATTGCCTCCCTATTTATTTATTTTTTGAGACAGGGTGATCCTCCTGCCTCAGCCTCCTGGGTGCTGGGATTATAGGGGTGAGCCACTATGCCTGCTGCCGCCTCCCTTACTCAGAAGGTAAGGATTATTACTCTTTTATCTACCTCCTCCTCCCTCCTAGTTTAGTTACAACTGGGTAATTTTAGTTGTTGATCCATAGTATTCTGCATCTTATCAGATATCTGATTTGTAGTATTTTCATACATTCCATAGGTTGTCTTCATTCTGTTGTTTGCGTCCTTTACATAACAGAAGTTTTTGGTTTTGATATAATCCAGTTTATCTATTTTTTTCTTTATCTGTCTGTGTTTCTAGTGTCATGTTCAAGAAACCATTGAAAAAATTCACTGTTATGAAGCTTTACTTCTATGTTTGGTCTAAAAGTTTTATACTTTGAGGTCCTACCTTTAGGTCTTTAATCTATTTGAGTTAATTTTTATATATACTATTAGATAATGTCCAATTTAACTCTTCTGCACATGATTGTTACAGCTTTTCCAATACCATTTGTTGAGAAAGCTGTCCTTTCCCCATTGAATGAATGTGCCCCCCCCCCCCGTACCTGGGATCGAATTTAGGACCTTGTGCTTGCCAGCCAGGCGCAGCACCACTGAGCTAAATCCCTGGCCCCCATTGAATATTCTTAACATCCTAGTTAATTTGAGCATATATGCAAGCATTTATTTCTGTGCTCTTCATTCCATTGGCCTAAATGTCTGTCTTTATGTCAATACTCCACTGTTTTGGTTCTGTAACTTTGTAATAGGTCTTGAAATCAAGAAATGTGAGACCTCTAATTTTGTTCTTCTCTGACTGGGAGTTCTTGAAATTCCATACAAATTTTCAGATGGAGTTTTCTGTTTGTGTAGAAAATGCCCTGGATTTTGGTACAGATTGTATTAAAGGTGCAGATTGCTTTGGGTAACATGGACCTCTTGACAGAATTAAGTTGTACAGTCTGTAAACACTGGATGTCACTCCATTTATTTGTGTCATCTTTCATTCTTTCCAACAATGTTTTGTGTACAGGTCTTTTGTCTCCTTGGCAAAATTTATTCTTAAATATTTTATTCCTTTTGTTGCTATGTATAGGATTTTTTTCTTAATTTC